CGTGGGAATGAGAGAGAATGAGAGAAAAATGAGAAAAAGAAAGAAAAAAAAAAGGAAAAAGAAAAAAGAGATTTTAGTTTTTTTTGATAAATTTGATAATTAGACTTTAAAGTTTAATTTGAAGAGAATATGGAAAGACATATTATTTAAATTTTTAAAAATTTGTTATCAACACTTAAAATTGTTTGAGGGACAGTTGTGTCAATTTTAAAACAATCTTTTTTAAAGGAGAATGGTTATTTACATAATAATTATAATTAAGAATCTTTCACTAATCTCAAATTAATTAACATTAATCACCAAATTTAATTAATTAATCACAATTAATTTAACAAGATATTACAATTATATTATTTAATTTTACGATTTTCTTGATTATTACAATAAATATACTTAAGGAGGAAAAAAAATGAGAACATTGATCTTAAGTTTGTTACGTACATACATATGGAGGGGATAGGGAAAGGGGCACATGAACCCATTCCCTATATATATAAGAGTCGTATGAGTTGTATATGCCATATATATCTTCATATATTCTTTATACTCATTTTCGGACAAAACACCATTTTCTGATCCATGGAAAGAAGCAACACCCCTAAGTAAGAGGGAGAAATATCAAAAAAAACTACGCCAATTAAGTGGACGTTTGGTTTATGGATTCATAATTATTATCAATTTATGTGTGTTTTTTATGAGAGAAAATATTATAGCGAGCCATAAATTATGATCTGAATCATGACACGAATCCTTACTCCAAACGCAGCATAAGCAACTATGGAGATGGAAATGTGAGGCTAACCTTCCTTGAAACCTTCCAAGAAAAATTAAAATGATCAATCTTTTTCCCAAATTCTATTGTTTCATTGATGAAAAACTGTTAACATTTTCATAACGATTCCACACCTCGGTTTTCTTCTCATCGTGAAGTTGAGTTTGACGATGCTTGGAAACGGGCATCATTGTTGCTTTATCCTGCCTTTCTTTCAGCACTCTGTTGAAAATGCTAGTGTAGTCTTGTTAATTTACTAATCCATCTTAAAAACTTAAGTTGTTAAGAGGTCGGTTAATAATAATTTTATACTTTAACACTCTTCCTCACGTGTGAGCTGGACAATGAACAATTATATAGGTAAATTAATTATAAAACCCAACATGTGAATATTTAAACCCGAGATATATTAAAGACTCAACACATGATGACAATTTAAATGGGAATAAAGAATGCAATTATGAGGGTTTAAACTCATGACATCCCGTTCTGATACCATGTTAGTTTACCAATCCATCCTATAAACTTAAACTGTTAGATGGTCGGTCAACAATAATTTTATACTTTAACAAGTTTTCACCTGATGCTGAGTTACTCTCATTCCAGTCGCTGAATCTCAGTACAGCCGAAATTTTTCCAAAAAAAAAAGAGAAAAAGGACCGGGCACTGTTCTAAGGAAAAGCATGTTTCAAGCTGGGCAAAACTTGTCCTACTTTCCTTTCAATAAAGAGGAAAATTCTTTTGTGTAATTTCATAACTGGGAATCCAAATGAGATGCAGACAAAACATATATGAAGAAAATAAACTTTAGAAAATCCAAACCCATAAAACAGACATAAAAAAACATAAGAATCAAATAATAATGATGAGATGTAATTACTGTCATGAGCCTTCAATTAAGAAAACAAAACGCAAATAATAAGTTAAGAAACTTACAGCCATTGGTCTTTAATCGAAGCTTTATTTGGTTAAATCTCCAAAGGAAGCAACTTTCCAACAAAATCCAACCAAATAATTTACCAGCTAAAGGCCAGAAGCACAATTAGATAGCTTTATTGACCAAAAGTCAACAATCATAAACATTATGCAAATTGAGCAGAAAATAAATAGAAAATGGGAAAATTAATAAAAATGAGAGCCCCTCAACCGTTGACTTTGAGTCACCGGTAACATTTGACTTCTCAAGTCTCTACCTTTATCTTGAACTTTAGTTTACCATATTTTGCATATTCAATAGCAACTGGGGAAAAAGAAAAACTTCACATATATTCCCTCTCTTTGATTCTTAATTTGTGCTTCTTTTTTTTGTTTTTTTTTTGGGTAGAGATTAACAGTATCACAATTCAACTAATTTCATATTGTGTATGTTAAAATCTTACGGTCTAAATCCAACTTCTCATTTTTGCAATCTCTACAACATTGAACAGTCTAAATCCAACTTCTTATTTCCAGCAGAACATTCTCCTTAGTTTTCGGTGTGCTAGGCTTAACTGTTATTCGTGGACATTCTTGTAATTGGGAAACGAGAGAAATGCACTTTAAAGTGTATGAGTCTAAATTTTTATTCTTTATTCTTAATTAATATTATTATTTTTTGTAAAGTAATTATATTAATTAAATAGATATTAATTAAAAATAAAGAGTAAAAATTTAAACTCAACAATTTTATTCTTGCTCCGCGAAGAATTTAAATTTGGTCGAGATGGTTGGAACCGATGTGGCCCATTTTCAAAAGCCCACTCGATGCCCTATTCCCTAATGTGTGGCCTACTTATGTGCCTTCCTCGAACCAACATGGTCTTCAACAATCCACAAGATACTAATATTCAAGAGCCAACTTTGGTCAAGTGTACTAATGTTGCGTTCAAAATTAAAGAAGCTGAGGCCAAGGTATTCAATTTAAGTTATGGCTACAAAATCGGGCTTCTATATCCACCACGTGGAGTCGGATGCATTGATAGTTGTTCATACTTTGAAGAATGTGTTGATTATTATAGTGAGTTTGGATTACATATGTCCGATGTATCTAGTTTATTGTTTTTTTTTTTTTTTTTATTTATGAGAAAGCTGTTGAAGTTATTCATAATTTGGCTTCTTATCATCTTATGCTCTCTTATCAGAAATGAGTTGAGGGAATTGCTGAGTCTATTATTTTGAAATATCGGAATGAAAAGGATGCTTTCATTTAATGATAACATATACTCGTATTCTTTAAATAATAATTGTTGTGTGAGAAAATGTGAAGGACACGTGGAAGAACGATAATATGACACATAGCCTTAACTATTCCCTGCAAAGCAACAACCCTCGACGTTTGGGGCTCCCTCCGATTCCGTTATAAAGAACCCAAGTGAAAAGTCCAATTTAGGGCGTCGATTCCTTCTGGCGTCGACAAATCGTACCGTCGACCTTAGGTCATAGAAATCCCTCGACTATGGAACCAACAGCCAAGAAGGACAGTTGGGTTAAGCAATACTAGCGACGAGGGGAATGCTCTTTGAAGAAAAGTCTGACGTGGCAAATTGCGTACAAAAGTGGGGGATGACTGCAAGGCAGGCATTTATTGCGAACTCTTAAACCGCCCCACAGGAGACAGAAAATGGTTACAGGAATGCACAGAGCCGTAATAGAAGATTAATTGGCTGAGTGAACAGTACTCCAAGTAATTAGTGGGCTACGTCTGGGCCTAAAAAGGGAGAGCACTTGAGTGCTTTCGCCTACGAAGGAAATCAACCCAACGAAGGAAGCTCCCAATATAAAAAGGGCAAGACCCCATACAGGAAAGGAGTTAGAACCCGAGAGAAAAAAGGAACGAGAAAGAGCAATTGATGTAAATTGTAATCCCTTCAAAAGAAATATGCAACCACAGTGGATGCAGCTCTAATTTTATAGAGTGAACCACTATAAAATCTCTTGTGTTCCTTATTTGTGCACATCTTTCATTAACGCACAATACACCACTCCCACAAATTCTTACATACATTCAACACTAAGGCCGGTAATCCAACGGGAAACCCAAAAGTAACCCGGCATATTTTTGTTGACGAGAATTCACCGTCAACAATAATAATAATAATAATTTGTTCAATAAGTGATTTACTATCGATAACAAAACTTAAGACATTAGAAAATTCTAAAATTAATAATCTGGTGGGATCTTGGACAGAAAAAATAATGCAGCAAGTTTGATTTTCATCGATAACTTTCTTTTTTTTATTTCCTTTCAATTTTTAAATTTTTTACGATTTATTTTATGTTATTTTAGTTATTTTAATAGTTAAAAATGTGAAATAGATAAAATCTTATTAAGAATATTTCAAAATCGAGTAAGAAGAATAAAAAACCTTATTTTATTTAGTTTTTATTCTTCACATTCAAAATTACGTCCTTGATTATTTTAGTTTGACACTGCTTCACACCTAAAAAGAAGGGAATGCCCAGCACCAAAGTCAGTAAATGGGCAATTATTTATATGATTGAAAATTAATAAATTAAACATTCATAGATAAATCAATAATCAATTACTTAATAGTTCTTGAAAATAAAAAATCAATCAATAATTTAACAAAATCAATTGGAAAAAAAACATATATTTTAAAAAATGACTTCCTTTATAGTGGAACTCTTTAAATACTTCTACGGTAGAAGTGTTGTAGAATTGTTGTTTTTAGCCATTAAATTAAAATTTTAACAGTCAAAATTGTATAAAAAATAATTTTACGTGATACGTGATAAATTTTTAATATTAATATGTGCCGATCTAACTTTAAAAATTTAACCGAACGCTTAAAAACAACGATGCTATCAGTAGAAGCATTTTGGGGTTCCACAGAATAATTTGCGTTTAAAAATTGAATAAAATTAACACGCCTTTACTTATATATGCTTTAAGAACGGTCATTCTTTTTTTTTTTTTTTTTTTTTTTTTTTTAAAAACTTTTTAGCCATTAAATTAAAATTTTAACAGTCAAAATTGTATAAAAAATAATTTTACGTGATACGTGATAAATTTTTAATATTAATATGTGCCGATCTAACTTTAAAAATTTAACCGAACGCTTAAAAACAACGATGCTATCAGTAGAAGCATTTTGGGGTTCCACAGAATAATTTGCGTTTAAAAATTGAATAAAATTAACACGCCTTTACTTATATATGCTTTAAGAACGGTCATTCTTTTTTTTTTTTTTTTTTTTTTTTTTTTAAATACCGCTAAAATAACGCTAAAGCAGCAGCAGCAGCTAGGACAACATTTGGCAGCTCCTTTTCTCACTGTCGTTCTTACAGCGAACATTTTCCAGTATAGAGAATCAAAAATCCCCTTTTGAGCTCGCCGTCGGTCATTCCCATTGATTTCCCCGGCGCGGCGGTGTCCATACTTCCCCAATCTTCATCCTCAACACACAGACTATTAGGCTCAAAACCCGAGAACACCAACTTTCGGTTCCGAAATCGCAGACCATGAAAACCCAAATGCTGACCACGAGAACTCCCGGTATTCCTTACGTCTTTTCTCTCTTTCAGATTTTCACTTACCAATTTCGTTCTTATACTTCTAGTATTAGTACCGATTGTATTACCCATCTGGAGAAATTGGTCCAATTGCGGTGTAAATCTAGAAATCTAACTGTAAACGAAGCTTTGGGTTTTTTCAATTCCATGATTCAATTGCGACCCATGCCCTCTATTTGGTCCTTCAATCAATTGCTTGGTGCGCTTTCTAGGATGAATCAGTATTCCACTGTCGTCTGTATGTATAAAGAGATGATGGGTTGTCATGATTTTCGACCCGATGTTGTTACTCTGAGCGTTGTTATCAAATGCTTCTGTTGTTTCAGAAATGTGAAATTTGGTTTCTCGGTTTTAGCAACTATGATTAAAACCGGCATTGAGCCGGATGCTTGTACTCTGAGTACTCTGCTCCACGGGCTTTGTTCGGAAGGCTCGATGGTCGCGGCAATGGAGTTGTTTGAGGAAATTGTAAAGAAGGAACATACATTGGATGAAATCACTTACGCGATCGTCATTAATGGGTTTTGCAAGGTTGGAGAAACTAGGAAGGCGCTTGAGGTGCTTAAGCGAATGTGTGATGATGAGAGGATTAAACCTAATGTAGGTTGTTTCAATCCAATTATTGATAGTCTTTGTAAGGAAAGGAGAATAAATGAGGCAGTAGACGTGTTTGAAGATATGATCAACCGTGGTGTTCAGCCAGATGTTATTTCTTATAATTGTTTAGTCCATGGATTGTGCAATTTGGATCGTTGGGAAGACGTGAAGAAATTCCTGATCAAGATGTTGGATTTTGGAATTTCACCTGATGTGTGTACCTATAATGTTCTGATTGATTCTCTATGCAAGAAAGACAAACCTCTGGCAGCACTTTCACTATTTGGATCTATGACTAGAAAAGGCATAGGGCCTACTATTGTCACGTTCAATTCACTGATTTTTGCTTTATGCAAATCCGGTCAATGGAAAAAAGTGACACAACTCATAGAAAACATGGTCCTTTACGGAATTGCTCCTAATGTTGTTACATTCAATACTTTGTTGGACACTCGTTGCAAGGAAGGGAGCACTACGGAGGCAATATTTCTTGTCGAAGCAATGCTTGATCAAGGTGTATTGCCTAGTCCCATCACCTACAACACTTTACTCTGTGGATTATGCCATACGCGTAAATTGGAAGAAGCTAAGAGATTGTTTGATGGCATGGCGAGTCAGAACATTTTTCCTCATATTAGAACTTTGAACATAATTTTAAATGCTTTGTCCAATGAAGGGATGATGGAGAAAGCACAAGCATTATTTGAAGCAGTGATTAATCATGGAGAAGAGCTTAATACAATAACATACAACACCTTGATTAAGGGATACTGTCACCGAGGTGAAATAGATAAAGCGAAATACGTATTTGATCGGATGGCAGTAGAGGGTGCTATTCCTGATACCATTTCCTATAACACCTTGGTTAGTGGTAATGTAAAGGTTGAAAGAATAGATGTTGCTCTCAAACTTCTCAAGGACATGATCCGAAATGGATTGGTGCCTGATCGTGTAACACAAAACATTTTGAAAAGCATCCATGCTTATAAGCTTGAAGCATCCATACAATAACTATTTGTGAGATGAGATCGTGGCATGTCATAATGCTATTAGTTACCTGATATGCTAATTAGGACAAGACAGGTTTTTATGTAATGCTTGGTTAATATTTATGTTGTCAAAAATTAGTCTACAACTTGATTTCATCCCATAGTACAGTAATTATTTTAGTTGAACTGTAGGAGCTTTATAGATTACAGTCCTATATGGCCTTTCCTGGTGTTGGGCTGTTTTGCTCATGGTAATTGTTTTCTTAGCAAATTTGTTTTGTTTATATATATACATTCATAACAAAAAAAATTTAGCCTTTCTTCTTGCTGCTTGTTTTTTTTTTTTTTTGGCCATTAATTTTCAGTGTGATAACACGCCGCCGGAGGATATTTGGCTTACTTTTTTTATTGTTACGCAATGATGAGTTCTTAATGAAAGTGAAAGTATTACTCAGTTTAAGGGAGTTGAGGTCCCTCTCAAGCTTTATTATTGAAAGAATTCTCAATGAGGTAAGATCACGAACTGATCACAGTAATCCAGCAGTTACTTTTCAAGGCATGTATAAAAGATTACGGATTGTAAACTTAAATATTACTAGACTGTGGTTGCTGTCACACTTATTTTTGTTTATATTCATGTATGCTAAACACCTGTGGGAATTCCTGACTTGATACCAAGGACGTGATTTTAAACTGGTTTGGTTGGAAATTCCACCACCGTTCTTGAAATTCAATTTCTCCTGAATGAAAGGGGCTTGTTTGGAAATACCTGGATGTTTTGGATTTGAAAGATATTGAAATATTTGCTAATCACTCTCTCTAACAGGTTTAAGTTTCTAAACGAGTCACCACCTCACTAACTCCGGTTTGGGGGCGTGACTGTAACTATTGGATTTAACCAATGTAGTGTCTTGGAACCATAATGTGTTTTTGCCGCTGCATTCCTTGGAAAAACTTAGGACACTATATCTTCTTTGCTGGCAAAGGTTTGATTGCGGAGTGCTTTTTTTTTTCCAGTGTTTTTGTTTTTGTACATTATATGTTATATGACTAATTTTTGTTCATTGTTGTATAGGTTGGATATCGGATTATGCTTATTCTTCTATTCTGATGACTTAACCATGATGATATAGCCCAACTCTTTCCTGGTGATTCCTTGGACTCAGCACGATTTTAATGCAAACCGGCTCATGGCCTTTTCAAGAGCATCACTAGAGCTACCACTACCATGTCCATAGAAAGGCAACTCAAAGGTGGCTTTGTGGCTGCCAGCAGATTCACCATGCAATGGAGAATCAGAAGCTCTCGTCGAGCCACCATCTTCCCGTCTCAATTTTTGCTCTTGGTTTGATCTGGAAGCTTCTGAAATCCTTTGAGTAGCATGTTTAGCCAGCCCTATGCCATTGCGTCTTGCACGACCAGGATGTTGATTGTGCAGGGTTACAAAAGAGTCGTCAGATATCCATGCCTGCTTGTACTTTGCTCATGTTTTGGCCTTGCTGTATCTCAATATTCTTTAAGCTGCCCTTTCTGAGTGAAAGAAGATGCGAGGAATCGAGTTGTTGAGTTATTCGAAAGGATATAGGGTTCATCTCAAGGGTTTATGAGATATTTTTTTTGTCCGAAGTCTCCAAACTCTTGGCAGATTTGAGCTTTGCTGCAGTGATACGGACCAAACATAACAGTCAAAAAATTTCCATAAATTTTGCAATTGGTAATTTTACGTTATGCCCCTGCTTTCCAGAAAAGGAAAAAAAAAAAAATCTTAGCCAAGGAAGAACTATTTCCAAGTTTCTGGCTGTGTCCGTGCACAAAAGCCGCATATAATTTAGCGGCAAATTTGATCAAACAATGGCCCTCCATTTTTAAAACTTTTTTTTATGGAATGGTCCTCCAATTTCATAAATATTTGTTTTTTCTTTTGGAGGTAGATAACATAGAATTATAGGTACTCTTAGAGCTATTCTCAAAAAAAAAAAAAGTGCTCTTAGTGCTCATATATTTTTCAGGTTGGATTTTAAACTCAACACACGCATGAAACACGTGCACCAAAATTTTTTTTTTGAACTTTTTTGGTTTTTTTTACTTTTTGGTTTTTTTTTTTTATATCTATATGTACTTGTCTAGTATGAGACAATTAAGATCTTTCGGTTCGCGTGCGTTAGAGCAGCTCAAATAATGAAGAGTATGGTCTGATCTGAATTTAGGCCTGATCTGCTAGGTTCGAGAACGGCGCTATGCGAGGGCGCTTTTATGCCCTGCTGCTCTGCTGCGGCTGACCACTGGATTATGCAAAAGAATCGAAACCGGGAGGTCTCGACCGAAGTGGTTTTTTTGGAAAAAAAAATTAACTGTAGAAAAAAATTTAAAAGACAAACCATTATACACAACATTGAGTCACGTATATGAGATTCTTTTTGGCAGTTTTACATTCTATTTTATGGGTATTTATGTTTTTTACACGTTTAATATATTTTCAGAAACTATTTAAGGATATTTTTATTTTTCACTCTACTTTTCATCTATCAAAATGAAATTAAAAATAGAATTCTAAGGTTTTAAAAATAGAAGGATAAATTATTTTAAAAATAAAACAGAAGACAAATTGAGAAAATATAATTATTTTAGGTAAGGATTAATATAAACTTCCATCAAAGAAAAAAAATTTTGCAATCAATTTTTCTCAAATGAAGAATGGCCTTTATGGGTGTTCATTGAATCCGCTAATTCGACCAATCCGTACAATTCAATCCAATCCGGTAGATTAGATTGAAAAATTTTTGAATTGGTAACGATAGAAATTTTTTCAATTTGCAACAACGAATTGGATTGTGGATTGAGCATTCTCAATCCGCATAATCCGTCAATCCAATCTATATAATATATACTTTTTTACATATGTGTAATAGCATATGTAATAGAATTTATTTTTTCAATTATATAATACATGTAGTATATAGTATATATGAAATTATGTAACACTATGTATTGTATACGGCTTATTTAAAACTCAAGACCTAAGAAGTGTGAGGTGTCTAATACTTTATGTTAGATTGCGTCAAAGACGCGTGTTTAATTTTGTTATTATTGAATTATTTTATGTTATGTTATGTTTTATTTAATTTTATCACAATTTAATGAGAATATTGAAAAAGGAGATGAGCTACAAGAGTCTAGTTTCAAATATTAGGTTAATCCGTGAACCCGCATAATTCAATCAGTGAATCCCTTGCGGATTGAACTGGATTGAGGGTCTAACAGATGAGGATTTTTCCAATCTTCATAAAAAGATTGGATTATGGATTGACTCTCAATCCGCCCAATCCGATCCGTGAACATCCTTAATGAACTTACTCTTAAAGTGCATTAGTCTGAATTTTTACTTCTTATTCTCATTAATATCATTTTGACTAATATAGTTATTTAACTAAAAATGATATTAATCAAGAATAAGAGGTAAAAGTTCAAATCCGTGCACAAGGAATATTTATCTCTTTTTCTCATGGTTAAGAAGTATTTACATGAAATGATCATTTTTACACTCCATGTTTAAGATATGTCTTTAATTAAACAATATTATCAATATGTCCATTTTATGGTTATTAATATAATATAACTCTAGATATACCCTTTTTTTAATCTGAGTGATTGTGAATTTGTTTAACTGATTTTAAAAAATAGTTAACTAAAGATAAAATGATATTACGAATTATTTAAGAGACTTATTTGTAAATATAACTAATGGACATTCATCCATTCATATATGTAATTAACTCCATGGCTGAACACTAGGGACGGTGCAAGAGGAGTAGTCCAATCAAACCTAAAAGCGCAGTAAAATTTATCGTGGGCCGCATCTCACGGAAAAGAGAAGTCCAACAATAACAGGCCCAAAAATAAGCCACTAAGCCATATAAAATACCAACGAAGAGTAAAACCCTAATTCGTTGTCTCTTTGCTTCTCTCGCCTCCGCCTCTCGCAGCTCCTCACTTCACACACCTCACAGACCCGAAAATGGTGAGACATCTTCCTTTCTTCTCTGGAAGAGTTGCTCTCGTCAACTACGGCAATGACTATGGCAAGCTCGTTGTCATCGTAGATGTCATTGACCAGAACCGAGTACGTTTTCTGCTTCGTCTTTTGTTTTTTCATTATTTTTCATTTTCGGAGGATTTTTGGTGATTGATTTATTCGAGTTTGGCTGCCTAGAAAAGAAATGAGATTATGTGATTTCGTGTTTTGCTTGTCCAAGAAGTCTGATTTTTGTGTAAAGGTCTTTGCTTTTAGTTGGTCTTGTGAATTTGGGGCTCTGTATTTATGTGGCTAGGGTTTTACCGATTTTGGGTATTGAGTTATTTTTCGAATTTTACTGTGATCGTTAGTGCTTAGGTAATTGTTTATGCATTTTGGCCTTTTACTGTATACTTTGGATGAAGATTATAAATTTTTTTTTTTTTTTAGAATTTTATTTGCTCAAAATTCAAGTTTGAGCAGTAGAAATAACATTGTAAAATCCTTTCAATATGATTTCTCAACCCTTTATTGGGCTGTTAGCTTTTTTTGGGGATTGTATTTATCTTTGATGGGACTAAAAATAATCTTTTTTTGATGGTTTTATTTGTTGAAAATTGGAAGCGTATAAGAAGTGTTCTGTATTTATCGTGTACTTATAAATTAGTATATCAGACTTTGAGCATTTTTATTACTACTCACATGGCCTGAAGGTTTTACTATTCAATGTTATGTTGAATCTGCATAATTCCTCGTTGCAGGCTCTTGTTGATGCTCCTGACACCGTGCGGTCTCAAATGAACTTCAAGAGACTTTCCCTCACTGACATTAAGATTGACATCAAGAGGGTCCCTAAGAAAAAGGAACTTCTTGCGGCTATGGAAGCTGCCGGGATGTTCTTAAATTGAAAAGAAAAAGAGAGTTGTGAACTTGTGGTCTGTCACACACTTCTGTCTGAGGTTAATGTATGTGTTGGCAACTTGACAGATGTGAAGAAGAAGTGGGAGAACAGCTCTTGGGGAAGAAAATTGATTGTTCAGAAGAGAAGGGCATCACTCAACGACTTTGATAGGTTTAAGCTCATGTTGGCAAAGATCAAGGTTTGTATTGGTACCATTCGTAAGTTCTTTAATTGGTATTTTTTAGGATCCCTTGAGTAGGTTGCAATTAAGACTTGGATTATCAATATCAATGCGTTGAGATACTACTGATTTGGTCGCTCTAACCGTTGGTCGTTCATGTCTTTATGTTTGCTTTGCTGTATGTTTCTGTCCATTGATGGTTCAAATATTGTTCTCTTTGATAGAGTGCAACTTGTCTTTCCTGTCATTCATCGTATTTCTTTTAAATTTTCATTTCTTTAGCCTTTTGCATGCCGTTTACCATGCTAACAAAAGGCCTTGTGTATTTGCAGAAAGCTGGACTTGTTCGACAAGAGCTTGCAAAGTTGAAGAAACAGAGTGCCTAAGCAACATGTGATACTGAGTTTGCCATTTTGTTATGAATTTAGTTGTTCAGTCATTTGGATCTTTGTCCATCCGTTTTCAATCAATTTAGAGATATTCAGAGCAGTTTAAGTTTCTAATATTGTTGACAGATTGGAGACGGCTCTTTTACTTATTTTGTCATTAAACTTAAGTTTCTATCCTTAATGTAGAATTTTTTTTCTGGATGTTTGTGTTACTTCTGTTAGGGGTATGCCTATCACTAGAGTCCTTCATTGGAACTTTCTTTTAATACATTCCACTACATGTGCCTAAAATTTTGTAACCCTACTTTTGATCCAGAGATTAGGTTACCCTCCGGTAACCATAATGATCGACTAAAGAGCCCTCTGCAAAGACGTTCATTCCACAATTCAAATTTCAACTCGAACCTGTGAAAATTACAACTCAAAACTTCCTTGTTCTTTCACATAAATCCATTTTTCAACTATAGTTTTCAATTTGAATCGGCGAAAAAGAAAGGTAGAATTTGTTATATTCTATTCAAATTTCAGTAAACTTTATTACAACTTGCACCCTGTCAACTCAATTACGCGCAACTGAAAAACGCATGCTAAAATGAGATTAAATTTAAATTTGTTGATAGTGTGAGTGCATTGACAGTACATAAAGCGGTCAGATCTGTGACTCCTTTGTTAAATTGGACGCCATTAGATTTGATAATGAAACTTCTTACTATAAGCTGTACTTTTCTGATTAAAACTTTGCTGCTACTTTTCTTTTCCATCCAATAAATGAACCATTTCTGTTACTGTTGTAACGACAAGGCTAAATTTTCTCTGAATGCCTTCAAAATTTTCGGCAACCTCTTATTCTTTTTAGCTATTATTTTAATGGTAATTCAACTGAATTACCTTGTCATGATCACAATTACCAAACTGACCCAATTAATTTCCACCCCATGAATCTTTTTTCATTATTATTTTTAATCTGATCCCCGCCATCAGTTCAAAGGCAAGAATACGATGTTTTTCATGACTATAATTATCATTCAAGATTCAATCTGGCACATTTGTTGCAAAATGGATTATGCGTTCTAAAATTCTCCAACTAATTTCCCTCATTCCTCTTCTTCGACTTTTCCCTCCACTCTTTAGTACATAACTCTTAGGGGGCGTTTGATATGCAGTAATCTTAAGGATGAGAATGGGAATCTGCAATATTAGCATGTTTTGTACAAGAATTATAATTTTTAGATTCCCAGCAAAGTGATTACCATGGAATTCACTTTCTCTCATTTTAAGGTAATTTGAATACCACCCAACATGGTGTTATTCAAATTCCCAAGAATCTCAAAATCATGAGAATCTTATTATTATTATTATTATTATTATAATTATAATTATAATAATAATAATTATTATTATTATTATTATTGTTATTATAATTATAATTATAATTATAATAATAATAATAATTAGTATTATTGTTATTATTATTATAATTATAATAATAATAACAATAATTATTATTATTATTATTATTATTATTATTATTATAATAATAACAATAACATTCTAAAGAATTCCTCAGTGAAATTCTTGGAAATAAAGTAATTTACTCTATTTTAAGGTTACTCCATCCTTAAAATAGAGTAGTTTTATGTCAATGAAGAAGTTTATCTCCAACATATTATTCCAACTTTACTCTAATGACATGTTTATCTACGCGTAATTGAAATGAGCATGAATCAAAATAGGTAAGATTTTGAGTGGGTGAGATTTGGAGTGAGGAATCAGAATTAAAATAAGTTGTCTCTTTGGTGATATGATTCAAAATCGGAGTCACTCCAAAAGTATTCATGTGTTTACTTATACCTAAGATCATAATAAACTAGTGTAAAAATACGAATATACCGTTTAAATAAAAAATTATATTTTAATTTAAAAATAAATTGTGTACTTATTATATTAAAATTAATCATTATTAAAATATTTACTATAATAATATGGTAATAAAATAATAAACATAAATAGCATAATTATTTAAAATATAAAAATAAAGTGTCAAAATTTAAATAAAATAAATAAAGTGTTAAAAATTAAAATATATTATTAATTTTAATAAAAAAATAAATTATACACTTATTATATTAAAGCTATCAATAATTAGATTAACAATAGTTAGGTTAAGATTATAATATTAGTCAAATAAAATAATAAATATAAGTTGTAATTATTATTTTTTGAATTTATATTTTATTTTATACACATAAGTAAATTAGGTTTAAAATAGTAATTTAATATTAATATTAAGATTGAGAGTCCAATTTAGAAGGGGGCATGAGATTACTAATCTCATTCCTCCATTCAAAGTTTGAGAGAGGCCCACTAATCTCACTCTCATTTTAAAATAAAAAAGAATAAATAAACATGAAATTAACTCTCATTCCTCATCTTCATCCCTCAATCTTAATAATTAAACATGCCATAAAGTATTGCTATATAACTCTATGGAACTGCAACTCCTCAAGACAGACGGGTGGTCTCACAAGAGGATAGGCCCATCACTTTGTTTTTGCGGAGTTGTGACTCCGCTTACGCTAAAAAGAATATTCTTTATATATTTCTTTTAATTTTCCTTTATACTATGCACATATATACTAACAAATTAATGTAATAAAATAATTTATTACTTAACCTACTCGTAAATAATAATAAATTAATTAAATGTTAATGTAAGTAATAAAATTAATTGAAACAATATAAATTAAATAAATTCATGAAATAACAAAAAAAATATAAAGAAAGAAATTTTGTTAAAAAATATGAAATTAGGATAAAATATGGATTATGAAACAATTTTATGGGTCAATTTTTTTGGAAAGCTTTTTTGGTAAGACCAGAAAAAATGAATTACCGGTAGTTCTTTATTTTTAGCCGTTAGCTCTGTATTAAAAATTGTATGTGTTGCATATTTTTTTAATCTGATGTAATTTTAACCTAATTCAACAATCAGAAATTGATAACACCAGTATAACTGTCCTATAAGAGAAACTCTAATTTTTTTGTTATTAACTCGAACGGAAAAAGTATTAATATTAAAAAAAAAGAAAAAAAAATCATATACGCTAACCGCTATATGAACAGTGTCGCAGCACTTTACATAATTCCGATTTGGAGTTGTATTTTGCCGCTCGGTTGTAGTGCATATCTTGCTCCAATTTGGAGTGTGATTGGAGATGGCCTAATTAGGCCAAACACTAATGTTCCAACTTGATAGAGATAGATCGGCACTCAAATAACTTCTTAGTTAAATATTTTCAACTTTTGAAGACTTCACAGTCAACGCCATAGGTGCAATGTTTTTAGTTTAATTGATAAGAAAATGCACATTATTTTTCTTCTCAATTCACCCCATTAGTTTAATTCACAATTTTTGTAGAAATGTACATAATCAAACTTTAAATTCATACGGATAAAATTTAATTTTTTATTTTTATTTTTTGAAGGAAATATAGGGATGGTAAGCTGTTATGATGATATTTGAGTACATTTATTTTGGTTCTCTATCTTGATTCGCTGTAAGCTTTTTTTATTTTTTATTTTTATTTTTTATTTTACCTTTTCAAAAAAAAAAAAAAAAATTGTAAACTATCAGTCAAGAAGCAACTTATTTAGGCCAGCCCGCTGTAGGAAAAAAACGAGAAAGAGAGAAAAGGAGAGAGTGAGTCGGTCAAAATTTCAAGACCTTTTTTGATACGTCACTAGACTTTCAATCCTAAAAATTAGCTACAAGACTCATATTGTTATGGGCTTTTTATGTTGGTGGCTGTATCTGGTGAGATGGCTTCATTTTGGTGAATCTAATTTCGTTAGAAGGATGAAATGCAGAAGGTTTGGAGGCATTTTTTCACCCAGTCCTCGTCTGGCGGTTGTACTCTTTTGGGGTTTTGATCCGTACTGTGGTGGGCTTCTTATGAAGGTGGTGGTGTCAGCTCCAATTGTTGACGGTGATGGCGTGTGTTTCACGTTCTGCTATTTGAAGGCATCTTGTCGGCGCTTGTCTTTAAAAGCGTTCGTCCTACTTTAATGATCCTCTAGTCGGCTGTACTTTTATTAATGGCTTGCAGCAATCGTGTTTTAGGTTTTAGTTGTCTATGTTTTAGTTTAATAAAGGCGTCAATATTCCTACCAAGTTTTAGTATATTTTTAGTAATAATTGATGCGGTTCTCCCACTGTTTTAATTTGTTTTTGTCTACTGGATTTAAGTCTTGGCAAATTAGAAGTGCTACTAGCTATGAGTTTAGGGGGAGATGTTGGTACCCCCAAAGCTACACGCTACATGCTCTTAATGGATCGAAAACTTGCACTAATTGTAGTGGTTCCTAAAAGAGCCTTATGCGTGTTAAAAAATGACATGTCAAGGAATTTTTCCGATATCAAGTCTCATCTCGCATCATTTTCTATGTGCTTCATCAGAAAAGACATCCCTATTATTATTAGTGTCTATAAGACGTTTTAATTTAATGAAATTTTATCTTAAAAAAAGCACCTTATTTTTTTATTCTTTTGCTCGTAAAAATGATTTATTACCTTTAAAAAAAACAATTTATAACAAAAATCTCAACTTTATCGTACTTTGTCGTTTCCAGTGGTAGATGGTAGACTGGTCGTCAAAAGGCGTTTACTACTTATTTCAAAGTAAAATCCCTTTTGGGTTTTGATAATCTCATTTGAAACTTCATAGGGTGGTTTTTCACGCCTTTTCGGTCGCCACTTTGAACGGGTCATACTGAAAAATATATATAACCTTTCCTTTGCAACAAGAAAAAAAAAACAACTATTTTCTTGATTCAAGTACTGCATTACATGCGTCAAAATTCGTTAAGTTTCAACTCTAAAAATAATAAATATTCATTAAACTGGCTAGTTTGAACAATTTACCGGTTACTTCCCCTCTCCAGATTTAACAAAGAACAAAAAAAAATCAAGAAAAAAAAAACAACTATTTTCTTGATTCAAGTACTGCATTACATGCGTCAAAATTCGTTAAGTTTCAACTCTGAAAATAATAAATATTCATTAAACTGGCTAGTTTGAACAATTTACCGGTTACTTCCCCTCTCCAGATTTAACAAAGAACAAAAAAAAATATTATTATTATTATTATTATTATTATTATTATTATTATTATTATATCTTGCCTTAATTAAGCACAAAAGAG